TGGGTGCCTTAGTCCGGAAGAAATCGGTCATGGCAGCCCAGAGATAATGATTTAATATTGTTATTTGGATTTAGTACGCATTTGTCTATCACTTCTTCAGAATTTGGAGAGTGTTAGATACATATACTTATAGGTTGTAAACATGCCCGTAGAGTCCCTTAAGCAAGGATGAAACTAGTCGTGTGGTGCTCTCACTCTAAAAAGTCTATATCTTTATAATGATCTATTAATAGTTTGGAAGTTTGTCTTATAAACTTTTAAACATTTTTAGTTCATGTAGGAGAAGTATTCCATATACTATCTACAATCATATGCAATTTATTAAGTAATTGATAAGTATTAACTTTAGCACTTATCGAAACACGTGTCTTACCAGCTATTATGATTGATTTTACTTATTTAAATCATACACACCCATATATTGGAGAATCTCCTTTTACTACTTATTGGAAGTTTTACTTTAAAACTTTTATGATAAGTGGATTACATATGATTATTATTAGTTTGAAAGTCTTCTACTTGTACTTTTAGCTATAATAATTCATAGTAGGAGAGTTATACTTATAGTTTAACATCTTCTTCAATCATAAGCAATTGATAAGTTTAAATCTTAGCGCTTATCGAAACGCGTCTTGCTAGCTATTGATTGAGTTCATTTCAATCATTCTACATACACACCCACACCCACACCCACACCCTCAAGATAGTTTGAACGTAGAAATAAAATAACCACTATATTCAACCTATTTTAATAGGAAGCGAATTATCCACAGCGAAATTTTTATCCGACAAACCGTTGACGAAAGAAGAAAAAGACTACTATGAAGAATGTAAAGAATATTACCATCTCACCAACCAACCATTGATAACAGTTACTGATGAAGTTTGGGATAATAGTAGTAAAATACCATCATCATCGATAAAAATCGGAATTGATGTAGATCATAAGAAATTTTATTTGCGACGTTTCTTACATCAATTCTGTGCTTTAATAGGTTTAAGCATTAGTGATATAGTAATGAAGCGAATACAAGTAGGTTCAGTTATAATGGAAGTAGAAATCTTCAATAAATTTGAAGGAAATGATAAGAAAATACATTTAAAAATGATGGGTCATAAAATCACAGACAAACTTAAAGAACCGTTTGGTATAATGAAAATCTTTCTCATGCTTATGGGTCTGATAAAATTATTCTTTAAAATGCAAAAACGTCGTGCAGAAATTAAGTTAAATCCAAGTTATAATCGTGTCTATGCCCATGGACATAATTATTGGGAGGGTCCTATTAATGATGGAATAGATCGTGGAAATAAACCATATTATTGTCCTGTTGGATGGCAAAGATGGTCATTTTATGTTACTGATAACTTTGATCAAAAATTCAAAGGATGGTGCATCGGTTATCATGCACAAAGTTTGCACATGGTTTATCAATTTTACTGAGTGGATTGAAACCAGCAGAGATTAAGGCACATGGTGCTGGAATATATGCTACTCCATTGATTAATTATGCTGCTCATCCAAGATATTCTGAAGTTAAATTAGTTGAATCATCCACTAGAAAAAAAATTTTCAAAGCGGATAAATACGTACAATTTGTATTAGAATGTCGTGCTCACCCAAGTAATATTATCAAAGTAGATCAAGAAACACTAGGTGCTGTTAATACAACTATAGATCCGAATATAAACAATGCTAATATCGAATGGGTTATTTATCCTCATGGTAAATCTATCGTTGACTTTAACGATCCAGACTCTTCGATTGTCTGCACAGGAATATTAACACGTATTACGGATGAACATCTCGGCTTATTACCTGAATCAGAATGGTGGTATAAGTCACATGTATGTCCTCGCAAATAATGCTGTATGTTAGCTATTGATCGTGATAGTTTGTCAAACAGAAACAACGTGGTTTATACATGTAACATTCTCTTTAGTGATTAAATAAATAAATGTGCTCTCTTTATTTTTGTATTTTGTTTCAATTTCGATTCATTTGAAAAAACTCCTTCCCTATGACATGCCGATTTTCGACCGGCTTTCATTAAGTATATAATTCACTTTTATATCTCACGAAATTTCAGCTGTAAAGCCCTGGCAAAATATTACACGCAACCTTGTATAATATTCTTTTGTCTATGGATGATGAAATTACGAAAAAAACACCGTTAGAAAGCATTGCTGTATTTTGACAGCCACATCGCTTTCTCCCTTATCGTTTTTGCCGTGTTCTATGTTTTTTTCTTTCCTTTTTTGGCAGAGTAATAACTTTCTTATGCAATATTGTAATTTCATAAGAAAGAAGAAAGAACAACATGTGTTTTTATGAGACATCATCACATATTCAGAAGGCTTTTATTATTTATATGATCATATATAAAAATATCAATGACAAATCAGGAAAAACAAGCTGATGAAATCTTAGCGTTGCAATCAATATTTGATACTAAATTTCGTCTTCTTCATGACAATACTCAATATGAAGTTTCAATTGACTTTGATCTGATTCAACCATTTCTTCTTCGATGTAATGACAAAACATCGATTATTCATTATTTACCACCATTCTCTCTGATTATTCATTATCATGATGAATATCCAAGTGATTATCCTCCTTCATTTCTTCTTTCCTGTTTTTATTTTTCTAAGATATCTTTACAACATCTTTGTCAAAAACTGGATAATTATTCATTTATAAAAGGGGAAGTTTGTGTTTATGATTGGATTGAATTGATTCGTCAGGAAATCAGCAATGAACAACCGATACTTGACACCAAAATCGAGGAACAAATCCATGATCCACGAGCATTAAATGGTTATTTAGCTGAGAATGTCGATCAAATTTATCAATATTTAATTAATTATAACAATGAACAAGAAGAAAAACAATTTCAAAATCGTCTTCAAACTTGTTTAATCTGTACAGATAGTATTCCAGGAATTGATTGTATTCGTCTTCATCGTTGTGGACACTTTTATTGTCAATCATGTTTAAATAATTATGTTCAAACGACACTCAACAGTGGTCGATTCGGTGAAAAACTTCTTTGTCCACAAACTCAATGTCAAAAAGCATTACTTCCTAATGAAATTAAACAAATTATTCAAGATGATCGATTATATAAAAGATATGAACGATTAACATTACAACATGCTTTAGAATTAATGAATGATATTATTTGGTGTCCAAGGTTAGTTTTCAAATCAAAAAAGATAAATAATCATTCAAACAATTTTATTTAGATGTCAATCTGCTGTTCTTACTGGCAGTGGTGATGATAATTTAGCCATATGTGATCAATGTCATTTTACATTTTGTAAAAAATGTAAAGAATTATTTCATTTTCAAATCATGTGTCCAAAAGATTATGTCGTTGAACAATTAAGATTACAACGAGAAAAAGAACGTGAAATAATTCGACAACAACAAGAAGAAGAACGTGAACGAATTCAACAAGTACAAGAAAAAGATCGAAAAAGATATGCTAAACAACAAGAAAAAGCTCAAGCAGAATTAGCTCGAATTGAAAAACAACAGAAAACTGCAGATGAACGAAGTCTGTCTAAACAACGATATCGTGAAATTGTTCTTGATTTATCGAAAGAAGATAATTTATTAGAAAAAATATTAAATGCTGAACGATTGGAAGCATTGAATACTCAACCATGTCCAAATTGTAATGTAAGAATTGAAAAAAATGGTGGTTGTTCACATATGCATTGTTTAAGATGTGATCATGATTTTACTTGGCATACAGCAGAAGGACCTAGAGATCCTCAGATGACCTCTTTGTTATATCATTCTTCTACAGCTACACCAGTTGAATCTATCAAAGCAAAATTAGCAAAACCATCTGAAGAAACTATCGAAAAGACTCCTTCTGATGAACACAAAGAAGATTCAAAATTATTAATTAATAATCGATCATTTATTGGTTCTGCTATCGTCAAACGAGTCAAAGCATGTCCAAATACTTCATGTCAAAAACTGAATGTTAAAATAGGCGATGATAACTGGATTGTATGTAATGGATGTTTAAAACAATATTGTTTTTCCTGCGTAGAACCCATTAATGGTGTCCAACATTTTCATAAAAAATGCGATCGTTACACACCACTTTAAAAACATATTACTCCCATGGATCTCAAATCATTATCTTAGGTAGACTTTTTTTTATATTACTAATAAAATAATCCGATTGTTTAGTGAAACAGAAAGACACTCGCAAACTTATCGTTCATTCAGTCGTCTCTGGTTATCAATATTATTTTTATTTAATTTAAGGATATGTTGAGATCATATTGAGCTAACGAATCTTTTTTAGGTTTCGAATATAAAATGATTTATCCTCACCTGCGTAATTTGGTGTGTTCAGCACGAAATTGTTTTACGTTAGATAAGATAAGAAATGGTTCAGGGTAGAAAATATAATGCTACTCAACAAGATTTCTGACGAAAAAGACAAAAGCACCTAAAAAAAAGTTAATAGTATTACTTAGTCGCAAATATCTCTTACAAAGTTATATATAGCAATACTACGTAGATTATTTATTCGATGCCTTTGTTTGTTTGCGATTATGCTAGGATGATATATAAAGAGAGATTTGTTATTATGGCCCGTATTTACAACGTACCGTAAGATAAATCACAGTAAAGGAGTTATACATATGCTGTGTGCGTTCTATATATATATATATATGTTTTTCACTATATCTTTTCTTTCGTTCTGTGAGATCTTTTCCTATTGCGTTCTCTTGGCTTTTCCCCATTCTTGTCGTCACTTAAATACATTTTCCACTGGATGATATTTATCGTTGGTATATTCCATTATCTCAGATATATATATATATATATGGTTGTTCCATTTCTATGGAGGGTATGATTTCGTTTAGAAATAGTTGTCTTAGAAATAAACATTGTATACACAACAACATTTTTACGGATATAACAATCGTCACTTTATTTTCATTCGATTTCGTTCTCGTTATATTTAGTGCATTTACCAGTGATTCATTCGTTTGTTCTGTATTTATATTATTTTTTTTCGATTCTGTGCGTTGCTTTGCTGGTGGTTGCATATGCGTAGAAGTTTTTGTTTTTGATTCTCTCATGACAACCTTCTTTCTCGTGTATTTCACATTTGTTAGTATTTTTTTTTTGTTTCAGTCTGTATTTTGTTTTTTTCTTTCTACAGATATAATGGATATAGTATGATATTGTTATCCTGAAATATTTGTAGATATTTGATTGTTTTTTTAGTACTTTGTCGGTATCCACATCAACATAAAATCTCACAATCACGAGAAATTTACTTTTTTTCCTTTGAAGATAGCACACACTTTTAATATATAATGTCTGACAAAATAACTCCATCTCTTCATGCATTACCAGTTGAATTGGTCTATCATATATTGGACAATCTTGATCCAAGAACAATTCTTCTGTCATTTCGCAATGTGTGTGCTAGATTTAATGCCATCTCCGACACTTATCATCGATCTCAGATAGATTTTTTGTTTTTTCCTATTTGTTCACTGTTACTATTCTCAACACTTGTAATCGATTACTATAAAAAAAATGACATGAAAGTATACTAAGAATCGGCGCTAGACTGAAAGAATTATTCACAAAAAATAACTCTACTAGGAATTCAAAAAACGGGATTTGAAATTGCCTTATTCGAATGATAAAAGATTAAAACAATTAATTCATGCACTACAATATAACAGAGTAAGACAAGTTTTATCCATATAGTTTACAGATCTGTTATTGTATTAAATACAGACAATCAATACGATCAATCTTCAGATTCGCCAATTCAATAATGATGAAGTACAACACTTGACAAATGTATTGCAACGTAAAATGGCAAGATAGATTGCCTTTTTTTATCTTTCATATATCAGTCACTATTACTTAATACAGATGCTCATCGCAATCAAATTTCTAACCAACAACCTTTGTGCAAACGGAGTACATCGTTTGGTTTGTGCTTTGCAGAGTAATCAAGTGAGATAAGTTATCTTTTAAAGTATTAAACACTATTCTCTATTTTCATTTTAGACAGACATTGCCCACATGGAATAATCAGCAGAAGGGAATCGATTCAAAATGTACTCAAGATCTTGATCATGCATTTCAGGCTAACACAGTGAAAGAACTTTTCTTCTCATCGGTCATTTATCTATGTGCATCACTTACTATAGATATATTTTCAATTAAACATTGAGAGTAATGATATCCGTGATGAAGGAGCTCAACATCTGACTCATGCATTACAAAATGGTGTGGTAAGACAAATTTTCTTTTTCCCTCTCAGATATTTATTACTGCTATTCGGTGTAGATAATCACTGTGCCCAATATTCGAGACAACAACATAGGTGCAGCAGGAGCAAAGCATCTGGTCGAGGCACTTGAAAATAATAGAGTGAGGGAGTTGTTTTCCTATCAACTTGGTTTGATACTCTTTCTTGTGGATTTATATAGACACTCATTGAATTAAATATTGAGAATAATGATATCTGTGATGAAGGAGCTCAACATCTGGCTCATGCATTACAAAACGTTGCAGTAAAGCAAATTTTCTTTTTGCCTCTCAGATATTTGTTATCGCTATTCGGTGTAGATAATCACTGCACTCAATATTCAGAACAACAAGATAAGTGCAGCAGGAGCAAAATATTTGGCTAAGGCACTGGAGAATAATGAAGTGAAATAGTTTTTTCCCATCTATTTGATTACATATTTACGATTATCATTTGATATAGACACTTATCATGCTCAATTTGAGTGACAACTGGATTTGCGATAAAGGAGCGCAAACGTTTGCTCGTGTATTGAAAAATAACAAAGTGAGATAAGTTTTCTTTTCGTTAATCCAATTACCATCATTAAATTCGATACAGAAACTGACTACATTGTATCTTAATCGGCACCGTATTGGTGCTGAAGGCGCAAAAAATCTTGCTGATGCAATGCAGATTAATAAAGTGCGATAAGTTTTCATCCTATAGATCACTCATCTAATATTATCATTCAATACAGACACCGATTACGTTCGAAATTTGTGGGGTGTGTGTGGGTGTGGGTGTGGGTGTGGGTGTGGGTGTGGGTGTGGGTGTGGGTGTGGGTGTGGGTGTGGGTGTGGGTGTGGGTGTGGGTGTGGGGGGGGGGGTGGGTGTGTGTGTGTGGGTATATACGCGGGTGTGTGGGTG